ATATTTTGTAAAAATATAAAATTAGGCCAAGCAAAAATTGGGTTATGACATGTATCTATGCCAAATAAAACGCTGTAGGTATAGTCCTTTTTTTCTATGGTTTTTTGATGTGTGTGAGTATATCTTAAGTCCAAATACCCACAAATTGTAAATCGTAGTTAATACCTCTCTTGTGTATTTATTCGAAGTAAATTGTGTAGGTATAGTCCTTTTTTTCCTATAGCTTGTTTATGTGTGTAAGCATAACTTAATCTATATATCCACCAATTGTAAACCATAACTAATGGAAATCTATACCTACAAAATATTAAACATAGGTAGAAAAAAGCATAGGTATATGGCAAATTTGTTGTAGTGCTAGTTATTGGTCAATTCTTATAGGAAAGTTTGGGAAGAAGCTAGTTGTACAATTGTGGGTGATGGTTGGTAGGATTTAAAAAATAAACAACTGATTAATTTTCTTATTTATTGTCCTAGAAAGATAACCTTTGTGGGATCTGTTAATGTTTTTGATGTGGTTAAAGATGATAGCATGCTTTACAATTTGTTTAAAGAATTGGTTGTTTACGTTGGTGCTAGTAATGTTATCCATTTGGTCATTAATAACACAGCTAATTATAAGAAAGTTGGAAAAATGCTAAATGATATGTATCCAACTATCTTTTGGTCTCCTTGTGTTGTGCATTGTTTGAATTTGATATTAAGTGACATTGCCAAGGTAGATATTGTGAGTAAATTAGCAACTAGTGCATCATTGGTGACTAAATTTGTAAACAATCATGCTTTTCTCTTTGCTTGACTAAGAAAAAGAGAAGGGTAGACTGAAATTATACGTCCAAGGCTAACACGTTTTGCCACTACATTTATTGTATTGAAAAGCATTCTTGACCACAAGCATGATTTGCTACCATTGGTTACTAGTTTGAAATTTAGAGAGTCTAGATATTACAAAGATCAAAAGGCAAAAGATGTTGTTGCTGTTATCTTAGATAACAAGTTTTGGAGTAACTGTCAACTTATTGTGAAAGTTGTGGCATCACTTATGCACTTGTTTAGAAATGTTGATGGTGATGAAAGACTTTTTCTTGGCTATGTCTATGATGGCATGTATAGGGTGAGAAAGATAATTAAGACTATGTTGAAAAATCGGAAGTCTTTATACAAGCCTTATACAAGAATTATTAAGGAAAGGTGGGATAAGCAACTTCATCAAAATGTCCATGTTGCTACCTATTACTTGAATTCTTCTTTTTTTTTTTTATGATAAAGAGCTTTACTACCAAGCAAGAAGTGATGAAAGGGTTTATGGATGTTGAGAATGCAAAAATTTCTTCTCAAAAAATAAAATTTTGAAATGAATGTGAATTTTATGAGAAGAGATAGGACAGCTTTGCTTGTCCAAGTGCTCTTGAATCTTCAAAAGTTATGAAACCCAATAAGCTTCCAAGTTTTAATTTATAATTTTAATACTTTTTTTATGACATATTTTTAATTATAAATTTTTTAACATTTTATATATTTCTTGTCTTTTTGATAGATGAGTGGTGGAAATATTCTGGATATAGTGCTCCAACTCTTAAAAATATGGTTATGAAACTCGAGTCAAACTTCATCATCTTCGAGTTGTGAAAGAAATTGGAGTGTTTTTGAAAGGATACACATCAAGAAAAGAAACAGATTGGAGCATCAAGATTAAATGATCTTGTCTATGTATATTATAATTTGCACTTAAAAAATGGGTACTATATCTTATATTTATTTAAATTAGATTTTCGTTACTTAAGCTTTATTAATTGAATCTTTTACTAATTTCTAAGAATTTTGAATTGTAGGATTGATGATAAGAAGAAGACTTGCTTTGATCCTATTGACAATGAGAGCATAGACAATGTTGATTGTTCGATAATATAAGAAGATGAATTTTTAATTCTTGATTTTGATGAATTGGAAAATATGATTTATAATGAAGGGGCAATTTCAATTTGTCATATAAATAAAAAAGAAGGTTAGTTATAGTTATTAGTTAATTTGATTTTTAATACTTTATATCATTATATCATTTAGTTAATAGACAATTAAGACTTATTTTTTACATTTGTTTTTATTGCATGATTCTACAATGAAGAAGAGCAAGTTGGTGGTTGTAGTGGAGAGATTGAACTAGAAACTATTGGTGATGGATTTGAAGATAGTGATAGTAAGCATAACTTCCAGGAGTTACATGCTTACTTTGAGGAAGATGATCCTCATTTAGACCAAAACAAATGAATTAGTAATGGTACTTCATCTATTGGACATTTGTATTTGTTATGGATTTGGTTTGAAATTTTCTATTATATTTAAGACTTATTTTATAATGGCTTTAGTTTAAAATTGAATTCTTTCTTCTTATCATGCTTGGTTAACTTATTTTCTATTATGTCTTTAATATTTGTTAGTTTAGATATTAAAAATTATATGTATTTAATTAAATTTATTATTTTAAGTTGCTTAAATGATAATTTTCAAGTTGATCTTATGGTGATTATTTCTTAAGAAAAGAGGAAAAGTAATAAATGAGTAAAATTTAATAAAAATTTCAAAAGAAGTGATCTTTTTAGTTGACTGGTTGACCTGATCGGTTGAATTGATTGAACCAAACCTGGTGACCAAAATAGGTCAATCATCGAGTCAAGTCTTAAAACATTGGCTATAACAATGCCATGCTTGGATTTGCTCCCTACAGACCTTATTGATGTCAGGTGCACAAGATTGCAACTGTTGAGCTCCTATCAAGCCATCACCAAAAGAAACTCAAACATGTGCAAGAATCTGAGATATCCAGATCTCTACATGATTTATATTAGCTATGTAGTATGCAAAGAAGTCAATCCAATAAGGCTTTGGTGAAAATGAAGAAATGGTTTGCAAATGTAACCATTAATGTGATTCTAAGGATAATTCTATAGAGTGTTCCCCAATGGAGAAGTTTAGAACCTTTAGCATAAAGATGGGGTTTATCCTGAGAAGGTGAATCCTGGTCGTCAAGGAGTTGGGCAGAATTTCAGATCAATTGGAAAGAATGTTAGTCCCATTGAAGTTAAGTTCACTAGGAAACAAGTTTATGATCTTTGAGATGTCATGTAATAAAGAGTGTTCCGATGTTTATTTGTATTTCTGTGTATTGTTTAATTTTTTTCCCCATGGCATGTGCTCTTTATTTTATCAACCTTCCAAAGTTTATGAAATGTTTGAAAAAGATTAGCTAAAAGACAATCATTCTAACATGGAAATTGTGTTTGTATATGAGTTTAGATGGTTGTGGTTTGTTTAAAATCATGCTCAACTTAGTTTAAGCTTGTTTAAAATGGTCTTGATTTTAGGTTTATTTATTACACAGACTCGAACCGGATAATATTGGCACTTGGGACTAGATTGAGCTAAGTATGAGCATTTTAATATTTGACTTTGAGAATGTAATGTTTATTTTTTCTATTGGTTTTCTTTAATTTGCAATGTCATGTATAATTTTTTATCGAAAAGTGTTGTGTAGTCTAACCTGATGCATACTATATATCTATAACTATTGATGGAGGAGGGTTCCCTCCATGTGGGCGTTTCCTCTTCCTCTCCCAAAATTAATCATTAATTTTTTGCAATCTGACTTAATTACCTCAATTTTGTAAACCACAGTTAGGACTTTTCATTTCCATTGTATTTGTGTAAGGTCCCTTTAGTTTAATAGCCAACTAAATCTTGTGTTTTTCTAATCCAACAAATAACTAATTCGAATTATAAATAATAGCAATTTTTTATAATTAGATATTAATTATCAGTTATCAACTGTTTTTTAATTATTAAAGCAACATGCAGTATTAGTATCTACACCATCAATAATGAAAAATATGACACATTAATAATAATAATATTATTTTACGCTAAAAGAAATTGCTTCATTGAATAGGCGGAGAGATTATAAAATAATCCCTACCAAACATGTAGCCAGGGAGTAACCTATAGCACTAGTAAAGAAGATGTTGTATATAATATATGTGAATAATTAAATACAAATAGAGCTATCAATACTAAAAACTACCTAAGCTATCGCTATAGTTTATAAAAAGAGTAAATAGAGGGGATGACCTATTCGACTGTCATAAGTATACGAGGATTTCCATATGAATACCATAGCTCAGATTAGACAGGTACCCCACCCCGTTGATCAGGTCATCAACAATTAATGAAAGTGCTACAATACCAAGCTTTACATTCATGTTACCTTCTTCATCTACTATGTGCAACATATGATGAAACATGTCAAGAGAGACTAAGTAGAGACCTCAAAAAGAGAGACATGCCCTCACAAAAGAGAGAAAAACCCTCAAAAAAGAGAGAGAAAGTCTCACATTTATTCATCCTCTCTGATTAATAAGAGGGAGAGAGCTAATGACAATAAGAAATGAAGAAAAAAAAAGAAAGTGAAAAAGATGAGAGTATGAGAAAGAGAACAACTAGAGTCAGGGGTGGAGCCAGAAAATTGAGTAAGGAGGGGCAAAATTTTTTGTTGACAACTTATATTTTGAGTATTTTTATAACACTAGTTAATTTTCTTTAGAAAAATTTTAATATTGACTGTTTTCTCATTGATACTTTCTTAAGAATCTTAACAAAATTAAGAAGTAAATATATTTTCCTGATTCTATATTTCTTGTAATTTTTTAATAAATGAGTAATTTTATTTTAATAAGAAATAATGCCTTACTATGATAATACTTAAAAAATAAATCAACTAATTCAAACATTTT